AATAGTTTTTTCGTAAAAAAATACCCAATCGTAACCAAAGTTGTAAAAAATAAGCATTCTAAAACAAAGCTAGGCTGGCTGAAATTTTAGCTTTTGTGTTTCGATGACTCTGAAGAAACCTTTCGATTTTGTTTTATATATGTATTAATTTTGATGGATTTAGCACCAAATCCAAAATGATTTGAACATTTATATTACAAGATAATTTTAAACATAATGATATATTTCTATGTACGTGTATATTATCAATTAAAATTGTCCCATCAGGATTTTTTTTTTCCATTATTTAACCTAAAGTACATAAACTTTGAATTTATAGAGGTCAGCATTCCACTACGTAGATCGATAATAGACAAGAAAGCAACGCACGCAAGCTTAGGTAATCAATCTCGTTGAGGCAGCCAGAAATTATGAGTCTTCGAGACTTGTAGCAGTTTCCTCTTTAAAAAAAAAATCTAGATTTTACACTGAGAGGCAATCTTTTGTGGCAGCGTAAATTGGAATTTGGGGGGAAACGTTTTGGCACTAAACAAGTTCATTATCCTTCTACGAAGCATAAAAAAAGATTAAAATTTTGAAAACTAGTTTTCAAAATACTTAATTAAAATACATTTTGAACACTGATATGAGTTATACGACGAAACCCAGAACTACACAAAAAAATACGACTAATGATGAAAAGTGTAAATAAACACAGCATTATTAATACGAATCATTTCAAAACTATCAAATGACTTAAAAATAAAGTTAGCATAATTAAACAGGTAAACGTCATTATATAATCTAAGAGTCTATGTATGCAAAATGTGTCAAAAGTGACGTATATTAAAAATTCTACTGAAAATAAGAACACACATAAATCTCATGGTAGTTTTGTTTTTGCTTATTTGTCGTTAAGCACAGAGCTATACAATGGGCTGTATCCACCACAGGTATCGAAACCCGGTTTTTAGTGTTATGAGCCCACAGACTTACCGCTGTGCCACTGGGGTCAGGCATAATACGATAGGTGTAAATCAACCAGTTAAAATTATTTCTTCTCAATATTCGTTTAGAAAGATATATTTATTTCTGAAACTGATCTATTACTAAAAATAGATAATAGAAATTAACTGTATTATTTAGGGATTTTTCACTTAAATCATAAGCTATAGATATTAGGCTTACTGAAAACAAAATAAGCAGCTAAAGTCTAAATACACGATCCGTTAATTTTTTCAAAAACTTACTAAATATGCTTTGGACTAATATAACGTTTTAAACCAAGAATTTGTTTGCCATATTACTACAATATTTTCGAAAATTAAAACTTTCTATTGTAGCACAGTGGTATGTCTGCGGACTTACAACGCTAGAAACCGGGTTTCGATCTCCGTGGTGGGCAGCACACAGATAGCCCATTGTGTAGTTTTGTGTTTAATTAGAAACACACAGACATTCTATCACAGCTTGATACTATTTTAAACTGATTTAAAAGGAAAACAAAATATTAAAGGTGATGATACATCGAATTAGGTGATGATACGAAATATATCTTGTAAAAATATAACATGCATGACAGATAAATTAGCTATACATTGTATTAAACTTAAATACTGTTTTTAACTAAGTAACTCGTAAAGAAACGGAGATTTTATTTCAAAAGAATTCGAGTGAAATTTTTATATTTGTAAATATCTAATTTTTGTTGTGGAATTTCGCGAAAAACTTAAGTAACGCTTTTGCATGACTTTGACTACCATGCGACAGAAAAACAAAACATGAAATACCAATGCAAGAGACATATCGTTGATTTGTTTGTAGTTAAGGACAAAGGTACACAATGGGCTATCTGTGCTGTGCCCACCACGGGTATCGAAACTCAGGTTTTAGCGTATAAGTCCTCAAACACACCGCTGTGCCACTGGGAGCACTGAGCTTTATTAAACTATATTTATAAAATATTTGTAGGTGCTTCTGAATATCATTAAACTTTTTTATAAGTCACAAGTTGGTGTTGTAAAACTTGTTAAACTACATCTATAAGTCACCCGAGATTTTTAAAAACTAACGTTTAAGTAATGTTGTCTTTAGCCACTGGGGGGGGGGCAATATATCGATGACTGAAATAAAATTGTTAACACTTAATTTACCAATCTCATTAAACAGACTTAAATAATATTTGACTAACCAAAAATAGTTAATTAATTTGCCATTCTACCATTTATTATACTTTTTAACAAAAATAAGTCATATTTATTCTTGTTAATATTAAAGATAATTACTGCCAATCCTAACCTTCATAGCCTTTTTTCAGTTACAAGAAACCAACAGAAAGCAGTCCTCACACAGACACACACGCGTGGAAACAGCGCTGTTTCCTGCATGGCTGCACACGAAACCTTTGCAAGTCAGCTAATCAGTTTGCGTATTAGATTCGTAGTCATAATTATCTTCTTCTTCAGCAGTCCCATTCACGCTTTAAACTCTTGTTTCTTTTTTTCTGCATGCTTTGAGCAGCCAACAGAAAGATTGTTGTAATTGCTGTCTTCATACGGCAGTGGTCAAGCTGCGTCTGGAAATAGCATTTAGTCAGTTGATGAATGAAGACCGTCTTTTTTCTTAGTCCACAACATTCCTTTGTAAACCTGTGTGTTAAATTGAAGGTTTACCATTTTCTAGGTTCTTATTTTCAATTGCTCACAAACTACCATGCTGTTTCTTCAAACGGTCACTAGGTGTCTTACACTCTTTTTATTTTGCTTAATATTTTGGATTTGTCTGTAAAAATGTGTTTACACGTGATTGGATAACATATTTTGTCAAACAGGTAATTGAATAGTTCCTACAGGTAATCTAAATAGAAATTATCATTATCTAAGCAATATATATTTTTATATAATTTTCTATTTCTTTTCAGGCTATAGCGTTCTAACTACCTTACTTATTCGGCATGGCCAGGTGGTTAAGGCACTCGACTCGCAATCTGAGGGTCGCGGGTTCGAATCCCTGCCACACCAAACATGCTCGCCCTTTCAGCCGTGGGGGCGTTATAATGTGACGGTCAATCCCACTATTCGTTGGTAAAAGAGTAGCCCA